CTTCCGGGTGGATCATCAATTAACTATAGTTCCTCCGATTTATCAATCATGCTGGTGATACGTGCTCGTCAAATAAGACCAGAGAGTTATGTTCAATAAGTGGAGAGTTATTTCCTAAATTTTGGGAAAATCCTCCTATCCTCCTATCCTACAAAACAAAAAAAAATTTTGTTTTGTGTTTTATGATTTTTATTGATTTTATAAATTAACTATTTATTTATTTATTTATTTTTTATTCTATTTTTTGTGTACTTTTTGTGCAGCACTTTGGAACTGTTCTGTTGTTTAAATGTGCTATAGAAATAAAGTGGATTGGATTGGATTGGATTTACCTTTCACTAAATGTATGGTCCACATTTAGTCCTCAAAACTGAACCTGCTGCGTTATGAGCCATTGGATGAAATCAAACACCGCCCTCCTGTGTCACAACTTGGTACTACCTGAAGGTGAAGGCTTTTCGTTATGTGCCCAAAATTGAACTAGCAGGGTTAAATAAATTATTCACACAAACAGCATTTTATTCACACAATATTACAATATTTTAGTGGTTAAAATGCAAAAAAGAAATATTTAAAATTACAGCATTTATAGCTCATGTCCGCTCTCTGTGTGGAATGGGAGACAAATGCCCACAATTGTAAAGCGCTTTGTGACTTTGGTTTGTGAAAGGCGCTATATAAATAATGATGACTTACTTTTGTTTCAGGGTCAAATGTAAAAGATTCTAAATGACTCAAACTCGCATCCATCGCTCTAAAAACAACATGGTAAATTAGCATGTTCTGTCTCCATCAGCTCCAGTTTGCACATACCAATGGAACACACAGGAGATGTTGAGAATCCCTGCTGGAGGCAGAGGTTCTGCTTTGATCTAAAATGAGCCCGGGTGGTCTAAAGAAGCGTGATTCCTGCTGACCCTTGACAAGGCACATGTCCTGGCTCTACTTAGAGATGGCATTAGGCGCCTAGTTAGAGCCCCGTGTCAAATGTGTGTCAGTGCAGCCCGGCCTAACACAATAAGTTGTCATTTATTGGAGACTTAACAAGTGACATGGCCAGGTCTCTTTTAATGCAGTGTGGGAGCCATTACCGCAGACGGATCCAGGCTTTTGTGTGTCGGGTGAAACGATGTCTCTCTTGCCTCTTTCATTTTAGCCACACTCTTTATTATCCAAGCTGGGGAACACCAATACAAAATCTACTGTATATCATTTACTATTATAAATGTTCCATATAGCCTTAAACATGATGAGCTCCATAATATTTACTCATTCTTTCATACTCATTCATGATTTAGAATGAATATGAAATCACTCTGACCTACTGTAGTGGTATCAGTGAGAAATGATATACGAAATCAAATAAAACCTATCCATTTCTGAATGTCCCAAAATCACAGCCACAGTCGTCTCAAAGGACGTCACAGAAATAGTCAATTTGCCAACAACAGACTGTTAGGTTGATCAAAACCTAACATGCTGCGGTCCACTTCGAGGACGAGGAGTTGTAAAGACTATAATGTGACTGTAAAAAAATATTTTTGTTGTTGCAGATTTTACAAAGTGTGTTGCGGCTTCCCGCAGACCTGAGCCGCGGAGCCGGTCAGAGTGGGTCCTGTAAATGTGCAGACGCGTTTTGAAGCCTATGCTAAAGAAGTCTTGATCCAGTATTGTGTTTTAAAGTGATTTATTGACTTGGATAATGCAGCAAACTAAATATGGAACAATGATAAACTGATGAACTGTAACATATGACCTGATGGGAGCAAACAAAAACGTAAAAGGCAAACGGTCAACAAAAATTATGGCTACCCACTCAGTTTAGCCCTGCTCGTGGACGTGCACCTGCCCCGTGAGTCCCGCCCCCTGCTGTGGAGCCACACACACTCAGTGTACCCTGATCTGTCTCCTACAAAGTGAAACAAATTTGAAAACAGAGCAGTTAGACAGAAGGGATGGGAAGTTAGTTTATGCTTAAAGGTACATATCTCCAAGACAGTGGAGATGATTGTGGACTTCAGGAAGAGCACTGTCCCCCCGCCCCCACCCTCCGTGATGGACTCCCCCATCACCTCTGTGGAGTCCTTCCGTTTCCTGGGCACCACCATCACCCAGGACCTCAAGTGGGAGCCGACCATCAGCTCCCTCATCAAGAAGGCCCAGCAGAGGATGTACTTCCTGCGGCAGCTCAGGAAAGCCAAGCTGCCTGCACAGATGTTGGTGCAGTTCTACACGGCCATCATCGAGTCCATCCTCACCTCCTCCATCACCGTGTGGTTCGCTGGAGCCACAGTCAGGGACAAACAGAGACTACAGCGCATTGTGCGCTCTGCAGAGGAAGTGATTGGCCGCAGCCTTCCATCGCTGCAGGACCTGTACGTCGCCCGAGCTCGAGGCCGGGCTGGTCGTATCACAGCTGACCCCTCTCACCCTGCACATGGACTATTCCAACCACTCCCCTTAGGCAGGAGGCTGCGGTCCATCAGGACTAGAACCTCCCGCCACAAGAACAGTTTCTTCCCCTCTGCTGTTGGACTCTTGAACACTTCTTAACCTGTCCCCCCGCCCTTTATAAAGTCACTTTACTGCCCATCATACGTCACTTTACTTCACTGTACTGCTGTCACCTTACATTGTGTGCACCATGTGCACTTGTATATTGTAAATAGTAACTGTAACTCTATTTTAAATTTAAATTTATTCTTTAGAAGTGTTTTTTATTCTTATTTTTATTATCTCTTTTTGACTGTTGCACTGAGCCAAAGCAATTTCCAAGTCTGTGACCTCCCGTTACTTACGTTGGCAATAAAAATGATTCTGATTCTGATTCTGATTCTGATATGAGGATTTTCCCAAATTTTAGGAAAGAACCGCCGTCTCCATGTGCACTTTTTTAACAAAACTCTCTTGTCTTATTTGACAAGCACGTATCACCAGAATGATTGACAATCATTCTCCTTTATACCTTTAAGTTAGTATTAGTGTATAATGTTAGACAAAATCAAAAGTACTGTAATTATGCCGACATTTATACACAACTCACAGGTAAAGAAGCTAGTACTGCCTCATTACTTGAATGTACCTGATTTGGCTGTTGCTAAATGGTGAGTTGGGTCTAACTATCTGCTTATGGAGCATTGTTTTACTCTATCAGGTGTCCGTAAGCTGTTGGATAGTTATGAAAAGTTGAGGTTTATATTCAAGTGTTGCTTATTATAAAAGGTAGCTGGTGCGGATATATCAGTGGGGGCAAGTCCCGGCTCAAAAAGGTCCATGAGCACGGGCGTTGACATGCTTGCAATCTCACTCCGGCCTTTGTATGTCGTCTTTTTTCCTCTCAAAAACGGCTTTGCAGGACGGTCCAAAAGTCGGCTCTTGGCTCATCATTACATTCCAGATGCTGCCAATGCTGAGGGGAGTATGTTTTTTTTGGACCAGTCTAGTTCAGCCGCTATGGACTTTACAATACACTCGTCAAATGAATGAGGCTCGTGTCGGCTAACGAATGCACAAATGCGTTTTCCCAAAATGTTCCTGCCCCGCAGCCATTTTGCCATTTACAGTCTATGGCAGTGGTTCCCAAAGTGGGGGTCCCGACCCCCGGGGGGTCGCGGGATCCCATCGTGGGGGTACGAGATGATTTCCAAAAAAAAAAAAGTTAATTTTTGCAATTGATTTAATTTAATATTACTACTTGTTAAATTGTGTTGGGAGAAGACATGATACAAATATATAGTATTTTAAATAAATCTGTAATTCCCAAACATTTTGAGATTGACAGCGTCAATCAAAATCAAGTTACGTGCGGCGGGAAACGTACATGTTGTTTGCTAACGCTATTTAGTTTTACGAGGCTACAAACTACAAAATATTCCTGCTTTACAATGAAACGATGGTTAATATCCAAAACAGAAAAACCCAGAGGGGTAAAAAAGTGTCAGGTGCCAGAGGCCGATGGTGAGAAGACAGCGGAGAACAGTGAGGGCGACCCGCAAGAAATGCCCTCCACCTCTGCTAAGGGGGGAGCCAGCCAAGACCATCAGTCGTACCCGGCTTACTCCAAAACAAGGAAGTACCGAGAAGAATTAATTAATTATGGATTTGTGTGTCTCGTCGTAAACGGAGTACAACATCCCCAGTGTGTAGTTTGCTCTGAAGTCCTCGCTCACGAAAGTCTCAAGCCTGTAAAAATGCAAAGACATCTGAACATGAAGCATCCCGATCTCGCTGCTAAACCTCTCGAGTTTTTCCGCAGAAAAGAGGGAGAGCTAAGAGGGCAAAAGAAACTCCTAACTACGCAAATAACAATCCCTGCTAAAGCTCAGAGGGCTTCCTACGAAGTGGCATATGTAATTGCACGGACCAAAAAGCCTCACACAATAGGTGAATCTTTAATTAAACCAGCGGCAATAGCCATGAGTCGCATTATGCACGGGGATAAGCAAGCCGCGGAGCTTGAACAGGTGCCTCTCTCAGATGGGACTATTGGCCGCCGCATCAGTGACATGGCACTGGACATCAAACGTCAAATCATTGACGCAGTGAAGGGAGGGAAGTATTCCTTACAATTGGACGAGTCCACTGACGTCTCCAATACCGCCCAGCTCCTTGTTTTTGGTCGGTACATATTTGAGGGAAAGTTTAGTGAGGAAATGCTGTTTTGCTTGCAGCTGGAGGGAACTTGCACTGGCGAAGACATTTTTTACAAACTGGATGGCAATCTCAAAAAAGAGGGTCTCTCTTGGAACGAGTGCGTGTCAGTGTGCACAGATGGTGCAGGTGCAATGCTCGGGAAAAACAGGGGTTTGAAAGCACGAGTCCTGCAAGTGGCATCACATGTCATATTTACGCACTGCATCATACACAGAGAAGCCCTCGCAAGTAAATCACTGAACCCTGAGTTAAAACACGTCCTTGACACTGCAGTAAAAATGGTCAATCATATTAAATCACGACCACTGAACACACAACTATTTTCAACTCTCTGCAACGAAATGGGGTCAGAGCACCAGGGCCTGCTGCTCCACACAGAAGTCCGCTGGCTTTTGCGGGGCAATGTGCTGAGCCGTCTGTATGAGCTGCGTGATGAGGTGCGCATTTTCCTCACTGACCAAAGATCTCCTCTTGCAGAGCACCTCACTGATCCAGGCTGGATTTCAAAACTGGCATATTTGTCATCAATATTTGAAAAACTAAACGGACTGAACATGTCACTGCAGGGCATTTCTGCCAAATTAGAAGAATTCCTGGAAGAAAATACACTGAATGCAAATATTGTCCGGGACTCAATTACTGGCCATCTCCAATCCCTTCGAGATCATTTTTACAAGTACTTTCCCGAAGAAGGTACGCAGGAAAAACACGCGTAAAACACGCGTAAAACACGCGTTTATGTGCAAAATCATAGATTTTGCACATAAAATAATAAAATACAGCTTTGTATGCTTGTATGCTGAGAGAGTTGAATAAAATCGATTTGCCTTACATTTCACGCGACAGGAAGGCTGTTGAGGTGGGTTGGGGGAGATGGGGGATCAATCATGAGTTCATATACATCATATAAATCAACAGGACCTACAGAGCGGCTTATTCACAATTTGTTTGGCAACAGCAGAATATGTTTTTCTGTCTGCATAGCTTGCTCATACAACACGCAAAAGTTTGTAAAAAGCACATTTCAAGTGTGTGTATGGGCCTTACCTTAGTTATAATGAAGTCCAGTTCAGACCAGTTTCATGTTTAAGTCCAGATAATAGATATGTAAACCTCCATTTGGAAATAAGTCCAATGAGTTTACAAAAGTAAAACAAACGGGTGTATCCTTCATAAACTCGCTGCAGCCGACTCTCGGATAAATCCAAATTCTAAAATCAACCTTCTTACCCTTCACCACTTTTTCTTATAATTCATATAATCATTGGAAGCATAACATTACCCTAAGTGCATTTTAAATTATCTTAAAATGTATTATAGGTTTGTTAGCCAAACCTGTAGCTGCCCTGAGCAGAAGAACAACAAAAAAGGAGCTTTCTGATGGAATTGAATGCAACCAAATGTTGGGCTCACACACTTCCCCCTGAGGCTTTCCTCACTTATAAGCTGTGGTTGAGCGCGATTAAGACCCATATAGGCTTAAAAAACACAATTTATGAGCCATCGTTTTAACTGTAAACATGTTGACTGTAAATTACTTATGTTTGAACTTCTTAAACTGTGATAAACAGAGAAAACATTTTGATAGCACCTCACAGGCCTCTCCCTGTGAGCTGTCGTTTTTACGTTTCCCAAGAGAGGCCCGCCTCACAGCGCCGCTCTGTCAAATCTGCGATTTCAAGGTATAGATAAATGAATTAAGGCAAAGTTACATTGAAATAATACACAGCACAAATCACTTGATATAGTGACCGCAAGTATCCATTGTATTATTTTTCTTTCTGATCTGAGGTGAGGCTGGGCCTTACTGGTCTCATCTGACCGCACGTCCCCACAATACTTTGAAAAAAACAATGTTCAGTTTGATAAGTGCCTTGCTTGATTTATATTGTTTCATTTTCGTTTTCTTAACAATTAAGATGCGATGTTATTATCCAGTGTAATCCATGTATGAGTCTCTCCCTCGACTCTCCAAACAAAAATCCGCCCCCCCTCTCGGAAAATAGTTCCGACGTCCGTGTGGGGGGTCGCGGGGGAGTAGCGCATGTGTGATGGGGGTCGCGGGCTAAAAACTTTGGGAACCCCTGGTCTATGGGATATAGCCCAAAAAATATGGCATGTCAATTAAATTACTCCCTTTTCTTGAACAACACCAATGATTTACTCCATTTAAAAGGTTTCTGATTGAATGCAAAACACCTACCCAGCTGCATATGCAAGTCATTTTTGGCAGTGAAAGCACTGAAGTGAAGTTATTCAGATTCTCGGGGGTCAAATGCAGTTGTACAATCAGCAGCATGGCTCAACATCAGAGCCAAGTGTCCGTGCGGATGTTGTGGCATTAATGCAGACTGTCGTATCGATTGTAGAGCCGAGAATGAAGGTGGAGGGGGCAGCACATCTCATTAAGCCTTTCCCCAAGGGCCCAACACCCACCACGGCCTTGCTCAGATCAAAGCGAACAGAATGGAGAAGTAGACTACTGGCCATATCTTATGTGTGGATGAAAGAGCTGCAGGGAGCTGCGTTCTCTTTAGCAGCAGTTACATACTCAGTAATGTATAAGGAATAATCGTACAATATAGAAAAGAATGTGATGCATTATAGAAATAAGTGCTCACAGCCTCGAGGTAAGTAGATCAGATGCGCAGAGCAGTCCTGGACAATGCCCTCACCAGTAGAAAAAGACAACATCAGAAAGATCTCCTGAAGACAACATCTAAACGGGGGCATTGGACATCAATTATCAAATTCATCAGATGATAAGCCGCTATTTTTTGGCAGTGTAAGCTTGCGGGTGAATTCAGAAGTAAACAGAACATAATGATTTTTTTTTTTTTTTTTTACTTCTGATCTCTGTTTTCTGTTTGATTATAAAGGCCATGACCTAACCCTAAAGACTGATGCTATTTTTGCTAAATGCATGCGTCTCATCTGACAAAGGCGCGTCTCTTAGGAGCATATCGGGTTTTTTGCCTCCGTTCTAACAAATGCCCTAAAGTTGTGTTCTGATTTTAATGCATTACTAAACCGTTGAAAGTTGACTCTGAGTGAAGCGCTTTCAAGGGATCAATAAAAGGAGTCTGTCTGAGCCAAAGCAGAGACCACCACTGTGAACACTGTGAAGTTGTTTTGACTGTGTGTTTGGGGGCTGCCTCACATTATGGGCCGTCATCCTGACTGTATGAACTTTGTTGGTCTATCTGTTGATGTGCCGGTATTCAAGATGGGACATGCTGCAGTCGGAATAAAGCTTGAGAATGCTGTTTCAGTGGTGGATTTGCAAAGAAAATCTATTACGTGATCTACAATGGAGGATGGTCAGCAGGTGGGCAAAGAGGAGCGGCTGCATTGCTGACAGACTGCTTCTTGAGTGCAGACGGGCCGATGACCTGGTTGTAGGCCGCTGCATGGAGCAAAATGCAGCGAAGTCGGCCCGTATTGGTGACCCACGGGAGCCAGGTCTGATGGTTGTCACTGCAGTCAACTGTCAGAAAGGGCATCGTCTGTGCAGAACCAGTGAAAGAGCACTTATTAGATTAAGGTCCTTAAGTGGAGCAAAGCCATGTCGCCCTGGGCTGCTGAGCTTCGATCTGTGTTTGCGGAAGTACAACTCCAATATGTTTTTCATAACAATCTGCCATGCAGCGTCAGTAGCATTAGAGAAAAACTAGTGGCTAATTTTGAAAAACAATGGCAAATTGGAATTTTGGCAAAACCTAAACTAAGAACATATATTCAGTTAAAAGAACGTTTCAAAACAGAGTTTTACGTCACAGCAAATTTGGCCAGGAATCAGAGATCTTTGATGGCTCAGTTACGAACAGGAATTCTTCCACTAGCTTTAGAAACAGGGAGGTTTTCACAGACTCCTGAGGAGAAAAGACTATGTGTATTTTGTGAACTTAATGAAGTAGAAAGTGAAGTGCATTTTTTGTTATATTGTCCTTTTTATGATGAATTTAGAAACGCGTTGTTTCATGAAGCGTTTTCCCGGGATCCTGATTTGTTTTGGGGCAGTGATGATGATAAGATGAAATTCTTATTTGAAAATCAAGTGTTTAAATTGTCTTCATTTGTAAGTAAAGCCTGGAAGAAGCGGCAGACTCATCTATTTAAATGAGAGCTTTGGTGTTTGATCTTGTTCTTTTTTTTATTCTATTTTTTATTTTATTTTGTTTATGATTGTGTTTCTGTGCCTGATGTTGGCCTGTGTCTCTGTATTTGTAAATGGTGTCTTATAAGCCCATGTGGGCTGGGCATCTTCGTGTGCAAGACACTATAATAAAAGATTATCTATCTATCTATCTATCTCTATTAGAACAGAATTTTTTTCTGAAGCTGTCTTTAACATGTGCCAGTGTCTTCTGTCATCACAAGAACGCAGTCTCTTTCCTCACAGTCGTTGTTCCATCATCTCCATTACAGGTATCTTGGACTGTTTACAGGGTGTCAGTATTCCTTTCCCCTCTTTAAGCACATGATTGTTGTAGTTGTATCATCCATGGTTTATAAAGATGGTCTCTCAAAACTGATGGTTCATAACCGTTATTAGAACCCTTGCATGTGAACAACACCATAAGAGCTACAAAGAAAATACAAAATAATTAGGAAATCTCATTATTTTAAGTTTTTTCAGTTGCCCTTTCCACTTCAGGTTAATTATTATTATTTTTGTCCATTTTTCTAATAATGCTTGAAGCAAGAGAAGCTAAAGTGCATTGTAGTGTAGTTCATCTTCAAAGTCAGGACCTTCATATCAGAACCACGTGATGAAGACTGCAGCCCATGGTTGGTGGTGGTCGGACATACGATAGCACATACTGGTTGCCTTGCTTCTGTCAGTGTGCCCCAGGGCAGTTGTGACTGCAGTAGTAGTTTATAACCACTGTGTATGAGTGAATTTACAAAAAAGTGCTATATAAAACCGATGCATTATTATACTACTATTCTTGCTATTACAATACATTCATAAAAATACAGTTTTATATAAAGTCAAGATCAATCACAAGTGAGAAACATCAAGGCGAAGGCGTATAAGGTTCATAAGATAGTGTAAAAAAGTGACAGTGTTATGTCTGGCTAACACCTAAATATTTAGTAGACTCCGCAACTAAATTTTTTTTTCTATTAATACAAATTTCAGGTTGAGAGGGAAGATTGTTTCTAATCGATAATACATAATGACAGTTTTATTAACATTTTACCCTTGGATTATGTAAACAACATGATGTATTTCTTGCATTTCATGCAACAGGTACTTGTTTTACTGTCATAGGGAGCGACATACCTGCCATCTTTTCCTTTTTCTTCACACCTGTATTCACTGGATCCATTGCAGATTGGGTGTTTGATGACAGCTGCTGCTCCTGGGTTTTAGGTAGCCTTGCTGGACTCTGTATCTTGGGAGTGACAAGGGCTTTGCCAAGTTGTTCCAGGAAAAGCTTATGTTGGAACCATTTGTTGGTTGATTTTAATCTACAGGACATTATAAGCAAACATGTTCACAATGTTGTTGAAAATCACCAAGGGCCACTGGGCAGTCTTGTGCTGCAGCTGTATGTTGCTGTGATTTTGTCCAGATTGTCAACCACTCCTTTTGTGGAGTTGTAGTCCATGATCATTTGTGGCTTCATGTCTTCTCTTGTGCTGAGATTCATCTTTTATGCATTGTGCTCATTTTAGACAGTATGAGACAACTGTTGCTTTCAGTGCCCTGCACTTTTTGAATGTCCTTGGGAAGTTCTGGCTTATTTTTTCTAATTGTTCCCAACCAGGGGCAATTTTAGACTTTCAGCTTCAGGGGTGCTTAGCACCTTGGGGTGGGTGGGGCACATGTAGATGGAATTTCAATATGAGGGAAATTGAACTTCTCCCCCCCTGGACTGCCACCTTAACGTGGTGGGGGAGTTTGAGTACTCGGATGATCCTGGGAGCTATGCTGTCTGGGGCTTCATGCCCCTGGTAGGGCCTCCCATGGCAGACAGGTCTCAGGTGACGAGTCAGACAAAGAGCAGTCCAGAAGACACCATGGACAGCACAGAAATGAAAACAGTGACGTCGCCCGGCATGGCGCAGCCGGGGCCCCACCCTGGAGCCAGGCCTGGGGTCGGGGCCCGTATGCGAGCGCCTGGTGGCCGGGCCTTAGCCCACGGGGCCCGGCCGGGCTCAGCCCGAAGGGATGACGTGGGCAGTCCCTCCTGTGGGCCCACCACCTGCAGAGGGGTCCGTGGTGAAGCGGTGCTGAGAGGACTGGGCGGCAGTCGAAGGCGGAGACCTCGGCGACCCAGTCCGCACACACAACATCTGGCTCTTGGGACGTGGAACGTCACCTCACTAGGGGGGAAGGAGCCCGAGCTCGTGGGGGAGGTTGAGCGATACCGACTAGAGATAGTCGGCCTCACCTCCACACACAGCTTGGGCTCTGGAACCCAACTCCTTGAGAGGGGTTGGACGCTCCACTTTTCTGGAGTTTCCCGCGGGGAGAGGCGGCGAGCTGGGGTGGCCATTCGAATTGCCCCCCATCTCAGCCGCCACGTGTTGAAGTTCTCCCCGGTGAATGAGAGGGTCGCGTCCCTCCGCCTCTGGGTGGGGGACAAGTCTCTCACTGTTATGACGGCCTACGGGCCTAACGGCAGTGTAGAGTACCCGGCCTTCTTGTAGTCCTTGGGAGGGGTACTGGACGGTGCACCGCCCGGGGACTCCGTTATTCTCCTGGGGGACTTCAACGCCCATGTGGGAAACGCCAGTGACACTTGGAGAGGGGTGATCGGGAAGAGCGGCCCCCCTGATCTGAACCCGAGCGGTGTTCAGTTGTTGGACTTCTGTGCCAGTCGCGGTTTGTCCATCACGAACACCATGTTCGAGCACAAGGGTGTCCACCAGTGCACGTGGCACCAGGACACCCTAGGCCGGAGGCCGATGATCGACTTTGTTGTCGTATCATCTGACCTTCGACCGCGTGTCTCGGACACTCGGGTAAAGAGAGGGGCGGAGCTGTCAACCGATCATCACCTGAGATCGTGAGTTGGATCCGCTGGCAGGGGAAGAAGCCGGTCAGACCTGGCAGACCCAAGCGTATAGTGAGGGTCTGCTGGGAACGTCTCGCTGAGCCCCCTGTCAGACGGACTTTCAACTCACACCTCCGGGAGAGTTTCTCCCAGGTCCCGGCGGAGGAGGGGGACATGGAGTCCGAGTGGACCATGTTCTCTGCCTCAATCGCCGATGCGGCGGCTCGTAGCTGTGGTCGCAAGGTCTCTGGTGCTGGTCCCGGCGGCAACCCCCGAACCCGGTGGTGGACACCGGCAGTAAGGGATGCTGTCAGGCTGAAGAAGGAGTCCTATCGAGCCATGATGGTTCGGGGGACTCCTGAGGCAGCTGTCCAGTACCGGCAGGCCAAGCGTGCCGCGGCCCGGGCTGTTGCAGAGGCAAAAACCCGGGACTGGGAGGAGTTCGGAGAGTCCATGGAGCATGACTATCGGTCGGCCTCGAAGAGATTCTGGCAAACCATCCGACGCCTCAGGAGGGGGAAGCAGTTCTTTGCCAGCACCATGTACGGTGCGTGTGGAGAGCTGCTGACCTCGACTGGGGATATTGTCGGGCGGTGGAAGGAATACTTTGAGGTTCTCCTCAATCCCCCCGTCACGTCCTCCGTTACAGAGGCAGAGGCTGAGGATGTTGGGGCGGGTACATCCATCTCCCTGGCTGAGGTCACCAAGGTGGTTGGTAGCCTCCATGGTGGCAAGGCTCCGGGTGTGGATGAGATCCGCCCTGACTATCTAAAGTCTCTGGATGTTGTAGGACTGTCTTGGCTGACACGTCTCTGCAACATCGCGTGGCGATCGGGGGCAGTGCCAATGGAGTGGCAGACCGGGGTGGTGGTCCCTCTCTACAAGAAGGGGGACCGGAGGGTGTGTTCCAATTATCGTGGGATCACACTCCTCAGCCTCCCCGGTAAGGTCTACTCCAAGGTACTGGAGAGGAGGTTACGGCCGATGGTCGAATCTCGGATCCAGGAGGAGCAGTGTGGTTTTCGTCCCGGTCGCGGAACACTGGACCAGCTCTATACTCTCCATCGGATACTCGAGGGTTCATGGGAGTTCGCCCAACCTGTCCACATGTGCTTTGTGGATTTGGAGAAGGCGTTCGACTGTGTTCCCCGGGGTGTCCTTTGGGGGGTTCTCCGGGAGTACGGGGTCGGAGGTCCTCTGCTGAGGGCCATCCGATCCCTGTATGACCTGAGCCAGAGCTGTGTTCGCATTGCCGGCAGTAAGTCAGACCTGTTCCCGGTGAATGTTGGCCTCCGACAGGGCAGCCCTTTGTCACCGGTTCTGTTCACTGTATTTATGGACAGAATATCTAGGCGCAGCCAGGGGTCGGAGGGGGTCCGGTTCGGAGACCACAGGATTTCATCTCTGCTGTTTGCGGACGATGTTGTCCTGTTGGCTCCAACGAACCAGGACCTGCAGCATGCACTGGGGCGGTTCGCAGCCGAGTGTGAAGC